GTTCACCACGTCAATACATTGATCACCCTTCAGTAAAGAAACTAAAACATCATTACACTTGGAAGGATTCATTCTAAGATTGTGTTGTGAAGACCATTCGGTGAGCAGTGAAATATTCTGCATAAGTTTGGGGTACACGGAGGAGTTCGAAAACATCATGCGATGTACAACATCATCGGCATACTTAATGAGCAGACAACCATCAAAAGCAGGCATTGAAGAACTATAAGTTGTGAACAAGAAGGGAGAATAGCGCCTTGAAGAACTTCTTGAGTGGAGGGTAAAAGTGAAGAGTTATGACCCTTATATTTGGTAAACTGTGATCGATGGCTGAAATAATTACTTAACAGATTGGTAAGCTCCGGCTGAATGCCTTTCTCAGAAAGAGTGTGAAGAAGTCTGGACCTATCAACACAATTAAAGGCATCACTATAATCAAAGAAACATACCCGAACAGCTTTACATTTCTTGTCCAAGGAGGAAGAGATATAATTAATGACGGATGTCAACGCATCAATGGTTGACCTGGAACTGCGGTAGGCAAATTGGTTAGGATCAGGTGCATTCAGCTGAGGCAGCATCTTTTGTAGTAAAATCTTTTCCATGGCTTTCAAACCCACGGAAGTGCAAGCAATCGGACGAAATTTGGAGGATCCCTTTTTGGGTACTGGTGTGATAGAAGCCACTCTCCAGCAGTCCGGAATGCAGTTTAGTAAAACACTGGTTGAGTAGGTCAGTGAAAACAGGGGAAAAGGAAACCGCACATTCTTCGAGCACAAAAGGTGGCAGTCAATCAGGACCGCATGCTTTATTAGACGTCAGGTTGATGAAGGTTTTGAATACTTCAGTTTGGTCTGTACTTAAATTAACAACATCAGGAGAGGGGGCAACTGCTGTGAATGGAATAGGGGTGTCGGTCCCAGCATTGCTGAATTGGCGATTGATATTGTCCACATTGGCTGCTGGAAGATTCCTCTTCGTTTTGAGACCGCAGAACTCAAACATCATTTTCCATGTATCCCGACAATTTTTTGTTTACCAGCAGTGCATGTACATAAGCGGCGTTTACTCTCCGCAGTTCGGCCTTGATTGCTTTCGAATGGTCTCTCACCAAAGAGTGCTTTTTCGCCTTGAAAGCTTGTTCTTTCTTCCGACGCAATTGTTTAAGTGTGGGGGACGAAAAACGGTCTGACCGTATGTATAAAGTTTCCCACGGGTAGCATGTATCATAACAGAACTTCATGTGTTCAGTCAGGGTATCGCAAAATATAGAGGGGTCATTGTGTACAAATAAAGAGAAACCTGTCTGATCTAATATATCTTTTAGTTTAGCAAGATTTTCGGGTTGGCATTGACGCCGACGAAGACGACGATCACGATGCCGAGTGTAAAACTGGTGATTGGATCTACTGTAGATCGTGGGAGATAATTTCAGTGTTGCATGATCAGAGG